GGAAAAAACTGGTCCGACCCACCACCACCCAAGAAAGGGTCCATGGACAAAAAAGGAAGAAGAAAAGCTAGCGGAGGCATGGATTTCGGCTTCTCAAGACCCAATTGAAGGAGATAGTCAAACGTACGGTTGTTTTTGGGAGAAAGTTCGAGCGATGTTATATGATTTAACGGGAAGTGAAAAACGAAATCCCGATCAAATTAGCTCGAACTGGCGTGATATTCGACTAAAATGCACCGAATTTGGAGGAATTTACAACAACCTCCTATACATACAAAAAAGCGGGTCAAACGATTTCGATGTCTTCAAGGCGGCTTTGGACTAATTTGAAAAAATAACGCCAACCCGCAAAGCTTTCCGTATGTGAAAGCGTGGCTAAAATTGAAAGATGATCCAAAATGGAAAGAGCAAACGGAAGGAACTTCACAATCTTCTGGTTCAAAGCGTTCAAGAAACCCCGATGCAACTTCCCAACAATCGGACGGACGAACACACTTTGACATCAACGATGATCCGCTCGATCTTGAAGACGAGCAACCTTTTTATCGGTCCGTTGGAAAAAATAAAGCAAAAAAAGCGGCTTCAACTGATGAATTAAAATATAAGACAATAGTTTTTTTTTTGTGAATGGAAGATAATATGTTAGTTTTTTTCTACAAAAGTTAATGTTTTGAATGTCTTTATGTTATTCGATGTTGTAATCAAATGATTAATTGCTTGAATATTTGACAAATATTCATTATGTATATATATAACTAGTAAGCAAAATGACAAAAAAAATCATATTGGTCAAGTATTTAAAGATTTTTTTTTCCTGGCAACTAAAATACTGATATTTTATGAATGATCTGTTAATCCTTTTTACGGAAATCATTTAATGTAAAGGTTGGTGCATATTTTATAAAATATTTTACGGAATGATCTATTAATCCTTTTGGACCAATTTGAAAAAATAACGCCAACCCGCAAAGCTTTTCCGTATGTGAAAACGTGGCTAAAATTGAAAGATGATCCAAAATGGAAAGAGCAAACGGAAGGAACTTCACAATCTTCCGGTTCAAAGCGTTCAAGAAACCCCGATGCAACTTCCCAACAATCGGACGGACGAACACACTTTGACATCAACGATGATCCGCTCGATCTTGAAGACGAGCAACCTTTTCGTCGGTCCGTTGGAAGAAATAAAGCAAAAAAAGCGGCTTCAACTGATGAATTAAAATATAAGACAATAGTTTTTTTTTTGTTAATGGAAGATAATATGTTAGTTTTTTTCTACAAAAGTTAATGTTTTGAATGTCTTTATCTTATTTGATGTTGTAATCAAATGATTAATTGCTTGAATATTTGACAAATATTCATTATGTATATATATAACTAGTAAGCAAAATGACAAAAAAAATCATATTGGTCAAGTATTTAAAGATTTTTTTTTTCCTGGCAACTAAAATACTGATATTTTATGAATGATCTATTAATCCTTTTTACGGAAATCATTTAATGTAAATGTTGGTGCATATTTTATAAAATATTTTACGGAATGATCTATTAATCCTTTTGGACCAATTTGAAAAAATAACGCCAACCCGCAAAGCTTTTCCGTATGTGAAAGCGTGGCTAAAATTGAAAGATGATCCAAAATGGAAAGAGCAAACGGAAGGAACTTCACAATCTTCCGGTTCAAAGCGTTCAAGATGAGATATGTTACATATCTCATCTTGATAGAGAGTTAAAAATACTATCCTTATTCATTTTATAAAATATACACCAACCTTTACATTAAATGATTTCCGTAAAAAGGATTAATAGATCAAAATCTTTAAATACTTTGACCAATATGATTTTTTTTTTTTGTCATTTTGCTTACTAGTTATATATATACATAATGAATATTTGTCAAATATTCAAGCAATTAATCGTTTGATTACAACATCGAATAACATAAAGACATTCAAAACATTAACTTTTGTAGAAAAAAACTAACATATTATCTTCCATTCACAAAAAAAATCTATTGTCTTATATTTTAATTCATTAAAATACTTTTATGCTTTGATATTACCTAAATTAATGCTACGTGACTATTTTATAGCAATATATTTTCATTAAAACCAAAGTATAATAATATGCTTTTATTCACATGTTCATTAAAACTAGGATATATAATGACTTCTTCATAGGGGTCAATCTCTGAAAGACCATTTATGTATTTACTCTAATATCAATTGGAAAGATATTTGATCACTTTTGATATTTGTAGATATGGAATTATGGATGACATATAAGTTCTTTTACTCTATATTATATTGTATTTGGGAGAGTTAAATGCAAACTACAACAACATGATTTTATCTTATGTTTTTAACGTTATATTATAAAATATATAGCCAGTTATAACAATGAAAATTATTATGTATGTAGATGACATTTCTATAATTTGATACATGTTTCAATACACAATGAGGTAATAGAAAAACAAAACGGAAATAAATTGCTATTTCTTGCACTTTCCCCTATTTGACATATTTATTATAACCAATGTATTTGACTTTAGTTTTCCAAATTCAATGTTGTTAAAGATTGTTTCCAACTATAAGCATTGTCACAACTCATCCTTGTGCACTAGAATCACACCAGCTGCTTGTGCCAATGGAACCACAATAGCACTCAAATTGTCAGTACTACCCCTCTGCAAAGCCGTCTTCACAACGCAATATGCCAATGACAACGAGGGTAAAAAAGGAAATTTATCATATGGGGTCCCGTTTTCTTGAACTTTTGCATCTCCAATAAGTTGACAAACACTTTGAGGAGTCAAACTCTCAAAAACACCATCACTTGCAATCACCAAGTAGCCATCTTTATCACTCATGCTTCGCCAGCCTACCGTTTCCGGTTCAGCAATCACACCGTACCTATTCATAAAATTTCAATATTTGAAGGGTATAATGGTCATTTTAATCATGTGTACGTCGTTATTTTAGCCTCCAATAAACATTCCGATTTAGTTATGAAGCTTTTAACATGACAACAGAATCTTGAAACTAGAATGAGTTTAAAGGTTTAACCTTTTTAACAAAACATCACCAATGGCTCGAGACACGGCCAATACACCGTTGACACGTGGCACATCCCAGTCAAGAACAAAACCACCAGCAACTTCTATTCGGGCTCGTTCATCATCTCTATCTGGATGATGATCACTTGTCAATTCCTCAGCATATCCTGCAATTTTCAAAGATAAAACTGCGAAAATGGTCCCTGTGGTATGTCGAAAATTGTCATTTTGGTCCAAAAATGTTTGGACTAGCAACAATGGCCCAAAACTGGACCTTTGATTTTGTTGCAAAATTGGTCCAATTTGTTTTTGAATTTTTTTTAATGACGATTTTGCCCTTTGTATTTTCTTTTTTCAATTTTTTATTACAGAAAAAAAAAAAAAAAAACCCTCGCAGTTAACCCTTAAGAGTGATTCTACCTGAACATAAGATGACTTTGGAATCGCCAACATTTGCAACCATTAATTCTTCATCATTCAACAAAACAACAATACTTGCAGTTGAACCTGCACTATAACCTTTCTGAATCGCCTCCTACATTATTAATAACAAATCAAACGAGAATATTAAAGCGATTAATTTCAACAAATCTTGAATCATGTAAAGAGTTTTAAGTTTTTCTACTTACCAAGGAAAATTTCAAATCAATATCACGAATTGCGCCCAATAGAGCTTCTTTCAAGATGTCATGTAAAGATTTATCTTCGATCTCTAGTAAAGATCCATGGGAACTACACCAAAATCAAATAACTGTAATTTGTTCAGAAATCAAATACAATGTATTAACGTAGCTTTACCCTTTTACTAAATCATGCTGATTATCATAAAGTGTTGATGATTTCTTGAAAGCACCCGCGATAACATGAACAAGAAAGTAATCTAGTAAGTTTTGTTTGGCTGTTTCACTAGCTTCTATTCCTCCATGGCCATCGAATATAGCAAGTAGATCAACCTTAGCTGCATTTCTCGCATCTTTTCCTGCATTAATTTTTTTCACATTAATCACATTTTGTTAAACTTATACAATATAATCTATTTATAAGAAGATTGGATAAGACATGAAAACCGTTAAGAACGTATAATACAAGACATTTGACACGTGAAAATAAAAATGGCAACAATTATGTCAAATGAAGCATGAAATAGCAGATTGATGTTCAAAATTTGAAAGTCAAACTAAACTTATTCACCCCAACCAACCAAATTCTTAAATGAAAACTAAGCATTTGACATAAACTCAAAACAACAACAATAATGTCAAAGAAAGCATGAAACCATGAAATTTAAACCATTCTTACCGATTAAAGGTATTCGTATACCAAGATTGCAGGTGACACAATCCTCTTGGTACTTCCTGTGCCCTTGAAGACTCGCAAATTCACAAATTTTCGTTGAATTTTTCAGAGATTCAACCATGAAACCCCATTGAACAACACACTCAGAAGACTGAAGAACGGCAGGAGCACCACCGTCGTCGTAAGTAATCATACACGAAGAAGAAACCGCCGACACCACCCAATCAATGCCGCTTAATAATCTTGCAAGAAGAAATAATATTTCCGCTGCTAAAATCCCGTTCTTGAATCTTCCCATAATCAATCTGGGAATAATATTTCCCACATCACGAAAAAGGGGGCTAAAAGCAGAGATTTTACTTTGGAATAGGAAATTTTGTAGATAATCGAGTTCTTGTTATAAAAAAAAATATATTATATATATTTATGTAGAAATTTGCAAAGAAATTATGATATTCTTGAAAATGGATGATTTTTCAATACAAAATGATCTTTTAATAAATTATAAAAATTGGTAATTAGATCGAATATGATATTCTCAGTTACAAATCTACATATACAAAAACCAACATTCTTTATAAAAACTAACATCTTATAGTTGATGAAATGAAACGATACAATACACCATTTGTAATCAATCAGATTCACATCTTGTACATTATATCTCAGACGAATACAAGGCCAAAAACACATGTTAATAATACACAAACTTGAATGTTTACAAATATTCATGAAGTGTTGTTACATTTGCAAGATACACACACAAACTCAAAAATAAAAAATCTCTCCTTTTCTTCACCATTTGTGTAACATTGCATCTAATCTTTCTAAATTGTTGTTGGATTCATTAGGGTTCTTGGCTGTTTACACGGTTCCTTAGTTCCAGCATTTCTTGATGGTTTGGGTCAAATGAGAGAGCTGCCCGACAATCCCTCATGGCACCTGAAACATCCCCAATGTGTTCATGGAAAGCTGCCCGTAAATGCAGAAGATGTAGGTCAGCTTTGAATGCAATCGCCCTTGATAGCTCTGCTATTGCTTCTTTCTCCTTGTGATTGTCCATCAAAACTGGCATTTAATAAAACCCCATATGAGAAGAAAAATATATAAAGGAGTTGAATTTAATTAAGCCAGGTTGTTTGGCTTAACCCATTAAGTCATTATGTCTAGATTAACTAACCTGCAGCTCGATATCTGTAAGGATAAACACGAAGAGGATCTAATCGAGTCACCATTTCAAGGTCTATTTTGGTCTGTTCGCGTTCACAGTATTCAGATCTCTTCTCATAAGCCGATGCATTGTTACGTGCCTTTTCAATCAATTTTGTCATTTCTTCATACGCAGCAGCTTTCTCATTTTTCAAATAATGGACACGAGCAAGCCCCTGGTGGGCCCTAGTGTGCCGAATCTTAAGAGCATTAATATAGCAATCAGCCGCAAGGTCCAGTTTCCCCGAGTCCACATAAACACTTCCAAGATTGTTCAACGCCTGCCACACCACAGTTTCAATTCACTACTACTAGTAAAATGTCTGAAATAACCTTTGACTTTAGGAAATAAAGATTGTTCAAACCTGGCCTTTACGAAGCCTATCAGAAGGACACTTAAGGGCATCTTGAAGAAGCGATACAACTGTAGAAGAACAAGTCGGATCTTGACTAGAATCAGCTAAAGCATACGCTTTCAAAAAGAAAGCTTCAAAAGATCTACTTAAGCTTATAGACTCTTCAGCTTTTGTTAACCCTTCATCACAATGACCCGTATCATATAATATCCAACCCTCGTAAACTAACCGCTCGTGTTCACTTGATGCATGTTGTCGTGCCAATTGTAAGCTTCTCATCGCTGCTTCCGGACAATTTAACCTTTTAAAAAAATCATAATTAGTAATTATTTATTATTTGAAAATATTAAGTCGTTCTTTCTGTATTAAAGTAAAGTAATACCTGAGGAGAAGCAAAGATTGTCTGAAATATAAAACGCCTTTAGCAGCTTCGGACTCGAGCATTTGGTAAATTACGGAAAGGGACCCGATGTCATCAACCGCGGACCACCTGTCGTACAGCTGTAACCAACAATCGGCGGTTGTCCAGCTTGGCACATGCTCACGGACAAGTGTTTGAAATTGAGAAGCCGGGACCCGCCCTTCAAACATCCGATAATCCGGACAAATCGTAAGAATCGCTTGAACATCACAAATCGCGGATCGATAATCTTCAAGAACCAAAAAGAAACAAAACCTCAATTCCAAACATTCAACCGCTAACTTAAACCCAAGAATCTTATTAATCTCCCCCATTGATTCTTCAACATTTTGTCTCTTCATCAACGAGGCTGCACGATACATGTACGGGTACGTAAGCGTAGGATCCAACCCCGTCGCCTTCTCCAAATCCTCCCACCGTTTCTCATCATCGGTGTCACAGTATAACGAACGTTCTTGATACATCCACCCGAGAGGGGTATAATCGGAAATAACCGAATTAAGTTTTTCATACGATTCGCGTTTTTTCCCGTTAATCCGACCGAGCCTCGCGAGCCCGACAACCGAGTACACGTGGCCTTCGTTTACTGCGGCTTTAAAGAATCTTTCCGCCTCGTTGTATTCTTTTTTTAGTAACCGCACGCATCCCAACATGTGATACGCAATCATTTTTTGTCGGGTGTTTTCGGTTGAGTCAACCAATTGTTCTAAAAAAAGAGCGGATTTATCGGACCCCGGATCAAGATCCATCGCCACCTGGCTTAACAAACAATAAAGCGAAAACGAAGCGCCCCCGACCATAATCGAACGATGCAAACGGTTGACACTTGTCAAAATATCAACAACGCGTTCATCATGTAAACATTCCGGAAGCTCTTGTAAGAAAACCTGCAAACAAGATGAAGCAAGAATCGGACAATTCTCATCCAGCGCGTATTCCAAGAACTCAATCGCGTCGTTTCTTGATAAAACAAGTGTCGCGAGTTTCCTATCGCAAGAATCTTTGAGATTTTCACAACAAAATTTATTCGAAAACACCATGATTTCGAGTAAAAGATCGGTCGGGAGTTTTTCGGGTAATGTCCCGGTTTTGGAGAACTCACTGATGACACGCATGCCAGCTGGCGAGATATCGTTTTTGGATAAATCGATGTTGTCTGAAAGCGATTCGAGGAAACACCCGTTAAGCATGGACTGAAATGGCGGCGAAAGTGCCGCCATTTTTTGTCTATCGCAAATTACTTTTTCGTCCCCGATTCGAAACGTGACGGATTCTGATAAATAAGTGTTGTGGTTCATCATTGCAGCATTTGCGACACTATTATCATTTGCGACAGATGGGAGCTCAGAACCAATGTCTATTAATCCAAACTCTTTTGCACATTTACCACATGAAGAGAGTAAATCTGATATGAGTTCTTCGCCTCTTTTTTCATATTTTAACCATGCCCCAAAAACAAGGCGTTCATGGACTGTGATTGATTTGAGCCAAGCTGATCGAAGGCTTCTTCTCATCAATTTGAGATCACCGAGACCTTTGAAGACCTGAAACTGCAACAAATAGAGGCTTGATCGCTCATGTGAAGGGCATGATTCGAGTTCTTTGTGGATTTGTGCTAAAACTTCTACATAATCAACGGGTTTAAAGAATGGAAGAATTGGTGGATCCGGTACTTTGATCAGAGATTCTCTGCAAAACAACACAATCATAAAGGGGAATCATTGCATCTATGTTTGTAACTAAAAGGGTTTTTTGATTTCAAAATGCACATCCAGACACTCCCAAAACATGATGTACTAGATAGCATTTAGATGAGTTTTTGCTGATTGAAGTTATAATAAGGGTAATTTTACTATATGATGATAAGTTTTGTTGCAGAGATAATCGGTAAACCACTTTCAAAATGCACATCCAACCAAATAACCACTAAAAATAGCAAAGAAAAAGCTTACAATGAAGAAGGGGAGTGAGGTGAGACTTTTGAAAGCTTTCCTCTTTCGACTTGCAGCCATGATTGCGGATTCAGAGCATTTAAATGTGTTTCTTTACAAGATTCAGATGGAAAGAACGTCTTCATACGGCATAACAGAGGAAGTATATCCCAGATCTCCACAATAGACCAATTAGGGTTTTTTAAGGGCAAATCCTTCAAATTGAATGAAATAAGAGCATTCAAACCCTAAAAAAATCCCCAATTTCCAAACGGTTTTCTTAACTTGATGATGAAATGTATCCGAGATCTCCACAACAGCACAATTAGGGTTTGGGAGCGAATTTTCAAATTGGATGAATTAAGAACATTGAAACCCTAAAAAAAAATCCCTAATCCGAGCTTTTTCTTTGAAGGGATACCGAAACTATACCAAAAGCACTGTGATTTCTGCTTCGGTTAAAAAGAACCAGAAATCACCAAAATCCCTAAAATGATTACGCAAGATCTCTGCCAAAAACGACCAAAACCACATTAATCTCACCAAATCCTCTAAATACCAAACCACGAACAGCACACACACAGAGAGCTACTAACCTTGTTTGAAATTAGGGAAGATCCACGGTAAACATACAAAATTTCTATACCAAATAAATTAATTTAAAAAAAAAAAGAAACAGAACAAACCCACTAATCTAGTGGTTTGAACGAACAAATCCCACAAGATGAAAGTGAAGGAATCTGCAGAAAAATTCAATCTTTCGCTTTCTTTCTTTCGTCTGTTTGGTAAAAGGAAAAGTTTCCCCTTTTTCTTTGTTTTCTATTCAATTTCCCACTTCCTTTTTTCCCGTTGGAAAACATAAAGATTGCAGCTCATGCTATGTTGTTCGTTGTTGTTGGGTTGGGGGAATATAAAAGAGAACGGGAATTGATTGGTGCCAGCAAAGAGTACAAGTGTTAATGCATAATATCAAGATTCAAGATTGTCTTCGCTTCGTTAATGACAAATTTGCTTTTTCATTCAAACAACAAAATTACTCTTCCAAAGTGAATTACATACTGATTGGTGGGGTACATCTAGTGCTTCTAAATTCTAATTGGAGTAAAACCGCAAAATAACATTTTCTATAAGAAATCAATTACATTTATTTTTAATGGGTTAGTATTTGTTTGGGATTGAAACCAAAATCTTCTGATTAGGAATTTTTAGTTAGACACATTGTTTTTAACGATGTTGTTACATCGTTGTTAAAGATGTTGTACAAATGATATTAAATTAAAAAGATAACACACGGAGTACAAATGACATTATGACAACTTAAAGACATACCATAACAATTACAGACTCTTTAAAAAACGACATAACAATATCGTTTTTAACAAGGTGTCTAACTAGAAATTTCTAATCAAAGGTCTTGGATTCAATCCCAAACAAATACTAACCCGTTAAAAAAAATGTAATTGATTTCTTATAGAAAATGTTATTTTCCTGTTTTACCCTCTATGCATATTAGAATTTAGAAGCACTATATTAAAATCCATTATATACATATATTAAAATCCATCCTAAACTTTATCAATTTCAGATTTTAACCGCATCAATTTGTACAAATGACTACTTCGTCCTTCAAATTCCAACAACCGTCCTCCCCAATCGTATACTCCGACCGCCAACGGTTTTCAAATGTTTCTACAAAATCTTTGTACTCCATCCTTCTTCCTTTCTGATTGTCTGCGTTTGAACCTTACGACTTCTTCTCCTCCAAGAAATTAGGGCTTGAATTTCATCGCGTCTGATTCATAAGGTATTTCAAATGCAATATATATATATATATATATATATATATATATATATATATATATATATATCATACGCACACATTAACAGTAATTTTGAAATGAATTGACAAAATTGGTTCCTCTGATCGGGGGCTATTTCTTCCTCTCTGAATTTCACAAAAACAACGACAAAATTGGTTTCTTCGTATGTATATTGGCGACCATATGGACTTACTTCCTTCACTTTCACCATTCGTGTAGGAACTCGATAAAGAGAAACTTCTCAAAGTTAATTTCAACTTCCTTTTGTTTAACGTAAGTAGATTTCTCAAATTTCCACAAAAATGCCTAATTTTCAATCATTGTTGTACGAAATTTATTTTGTTGTGTTTCAATTTATTTTCATACATTTTTTTATGCCAATTCATTATTTGTAGCAGATGTGAATCGGTTTCTAAAATTTTCACACAAATGCCTAATTTCTAATCATCGCTTTAAGAAGTTACATCTGTTGTGTTTCAATTTATCTTCATACATTGTAAATTTCAATTTCCGAACACAAACATGTTCTGATGATAAAAAGATTAAAATTCGAAACTCTTCCCCAACTCAGAGAGCTTCATGTGGGACACTGCATATTTAGCAAATAATGCATCCTCATCATGTTTCAAAACATTTAAAAACAAATAATCATCCAATTTTACACAATATCAATATTTGTATGATGTACAATTTTTTAGGGGCGATGCCTTTTCTTGCTCCCTCTGACAGATTTGTTTCTCTTTAGAACGATTGTAGTTTCATATGTGCTTTCAATACATTTATGTTGAATCTGATTACATCTTTCGTGTATGTTGTATGTTGATGGAATTCTTTAAAGCTTTACTGCCATTCTTTGTCATCCAAAGCATTTTTGTACTATTTGAATAATTATTTGTGTACAATTATAGAAGTCATTATTGCTTTTTATGTTAAGATACCACATTGAATTCAGTTGGAATTTGGGATTCCATGGGATTTCCTTAGAATCGGATTTGAATTCCACTCCAATCCTAGGTTTTGTTGCAAATGAGCTCCGTTTGATTTTCAAAATCGTTTCACCAATGGGTTTCAACATTCCATCCTAAAACCCATGTAATTCAATTTCTAGCATTTCATCATTTTTATGAAATATTAGAACTTGATAGGGGGGAGTCTTATTTTCCTCCCTTTTACTTTTGAGTGTTGAGTCCTTCTTTCTGCATTAAATTAAAAAGAGACAATTGCTTTATATGCTTTACAATCAAACATCAAATTATATAACTGTTGTCTCTATAGCAATTCGTTTTGACAAGTACCATGGAATATTTGAATTCAGACATCTTGTATATTGTAGAAATTGAATGTAAAGCTGAGACATGTATATGTTTTCACTTTTGCTTAAAACCAAATCTAGGTGGTTTTATCCTTGATGAAAGATATGTATTCATTCATCCATGCATAGTACCTAGATGGTAAATTCAGATTGTTGGGATTTAGCTTTTAGTTATACACGCAGACTGCCAAACCTACAACTCTACAACCAACAATAACATACATATCCACGACACTATATTTGATTAGTAACTAGATCAGATATTGTAACACCCGTCAAAATTAGGTCAATAACAATCACATGTGATTATGCCAATCATGTAATGTGATGTTATTAAACTAGTAATGTGATAAACTTACTATGTAGTTCATGATAAATTCTAATACAAATATGAACTTTCTTTATGATACAACTCAAAGTATATGTCCATACGATTCCAAAAATATAGAGAACGTCTGAATCTGACTTCGCGTGAAGAAGTTATGATAACCGAACACTATAAATCTCTATAATAAGAGGAATTTAAAATAGACTTAGAATTAGCTATTGAAGTCTAAAAGAGAGTTGTAGTACTCATAAATACCTACGCGTGGCTATAAAGAACGTCAAAAACGGAGTTCGTATGCGAAAGTTACGACCTTCCGAAGATACAACTGTCTGAAACCCTAATCCGACTGAACTCACGACGTGAGCATAGAAACTCACGACATGAGGAGTCAAATTGCCACATTTCGGACCTAGAAGATGCGTGACGAGGCTACGAAGGGATAAGCTCTAAGCTCACGACGTGAACAATGATATTTCACGATGTGAGGAGTCATATGGCCACCTTCGGAAGCTAGAAGACGGATGGCAAGTCTACGAAGAGATAAGTTCCAAACTCACGACGTGAACAATGAGTTTCTCACGTCGTGAGGGCCAAAAATATTCCTATAAATAGCAAGTCCGGTCTTCTCTTTCCTTACACCTGAATTTCTTCTCTCTCTCATTTGCTGAAGCCCTCTTGCATCTCGAGTCTGACGACCTCGTACTGGCTGACCGTTTCTCCTTAGATTACATAAAATCACGCTATTAAGGTGAGTTTCACGGCCCCACTTTTTAATGTTTTCGGGGGAAAACGCATGCTAAATATTGAATACAAGTTAATACTATATTTATATGATAGTATGTTCGTTAATCGAGATATAATTATTTTGTATCTATATAACTATCGTAAACTTATTAGCATGTTATTGTTATAGTGTATACTAATGTAGATCTTGAGTTATACTTAGGATTCTATATATATTTCGTGTGCGATATAGTTCCAGAGTTATACTCGGAAGTTCTATATGTTAATTGATATGTACGTTGTTATTGTTGGTTTTATGTCAAGATAAAACTAGGAACGTTATATGTTGTTATTATTGGTTTTATGTTAAGATAAAACCTAGTTTTAATTCTAATTATAGCTGTTGTACTGCCTAAGTATTATAAATATTAGGATTAATGCTTAAAGCATAGGCTAATAACTTAGGGTTTTTGACACGAATATGTTTTTACTACTAGAACTAACGGAACTCGACAAGTCTACATGAGTTATTGTATTCATCAACTAAGATTGGAAATCTTAGGGAAAATCCTCTGACCTGTAACCGCTAATCCCATGCGAGCGAGGAAGTCGTGTATGAATAAGATACGGGTTGACAAACCCACTCATGGTTGCTAGCTACAACCCAACGGTCTGCGAGTGACGAACTGTCCTTTTATTTGTTTATTGTTCCGATGTTGATGAAGCGTGTGGAACTTATCTTAAGATGCGAAACTTGTAGCATCAAGCAGAGGTTTGAAACTAGTCATACAACCGCGGTTACGGACTCATGGTAGCAAATTGTTAGAAGCATTATACTTTGTCGTTATACAAGTATTAATGTTAAGTATAAGTTTCCCAAACACTTATACTCTAAGTACAAGAAACTGGTAGGTATACTACTTGTATATTAAGTAGATAATTATACCTAGCACACATACTCGTATAGAATTGAAATAGATTTATACGTATCGGTTTTTACTCGTATAGAATTGAAATAGATTTATACGTAGCGGTTTTACTCGTATAGAATTGAAATAGATTTATACGTAGCGGTTTTTACTCGTATAGAATTGAAATAGATTTATACGGAGCGGTTTTTACTCGTCTAGAATTGAAATAAGATTTATACGTAGCAACCTTCGTTTGTAGGGAATTACAAACCCTTATATTCATAGTATATGAGACTTATAGGTATACTACTTATTTGGTAAGTAAACTATTATACCTAGTGTGTGTGTGTGTATATATATATATATATATATATATATATATATATATATATATATACTATATGTTAGAAACAAGCATGAGTCAAAATGATATCTTCAAACTATATTATATACTTTTCCAACTTGGGAAAAAGTACTATTTTTACTCAGAGTCAAAACCTGTGAACTCACCAACTTTATGCTGACGTATTTTAAAATGCATGTGTTTTCAGGAAGTTGATAACTATGATACAAGGAATGACGTTACACCGCCCGGTGTTTCCGCCGACGGCTGGGGGTGTGACAGATATGGACATGTTGCATCATAACCTTGGAACAAAAATATATATTAATTATACTTGTATATGTATATTTGTCAACCATCAATTTTGGCCTAGCTAAGATGATTAAAACACTCCAAAATAGGCCCCACCATTGAATTTGATAACACCAAAACAATGGTAATGAACGACTGTTCTCACTTGTAAGGAGAACTAAACCAAAAATTATTGCTACAAGACCAAACAAATATTGAAAACATGGAATTCAGAATCAATAGACATCGCACACCTCCTGTAAAAACACAAAAATCAGTATAAACTTCTCGTGTTTACTTTTTAAATTTATTTTGAGGTTATTGGGTTGGGGAAGTTTCTATGTGACT